CTTCTCTGGGGAGTCGCAACAGTCACTTCGATCTGGAGATCAACAATGGAGGCTGTGCGTTCCGCCGGCTTCGCTACGGTCAAACTAGGGTTCGAAAGTTTAGGACATCTGGGTTGTGACTATAGATGGGTTGCGAACTGGATTGCTCAGTGCCAAAATGTCTCGCAACCTAGAGTTCCCCCATTTTTGCCAAACTGCGATAACAGAGAAGAAAGAGGCGCTATGCCAAACTGCGAAAACACAGAAGAAAGAGGCGCTAAAGGGTTGATACATCTGCTTTTATATGGAGGGCACTTCGGTCATTTCACGTCCCCAAGTGATTATATTAGAATACAATTTGTAGCCTGATTATTTGAGCACACTATTTCTGATTTCTGATTATACCAGCTTATTTCCCCAGTTTTTAACTCAAAATTGTTGACAAATATAGAAACCTACCACTTACGAAAATGAACTTGTTTGATTAGATTAATGGCTTGATTAGACTTACGAGACTCATCGTCTGAATTAACTGGGCTATTGGTCAGACTAACAGCAGGAGGACTTTCGGACTTTTCTTTTTCTAACAGACTTATTAAATTCTGCTTAATTTCATATTTCTCAGTTTCTAATTTATGACTCATTTGTCTTAACTCTATAATTTCCTTTTTTACTTGTTTGACTTCCAAGTGCAGATCATGTAGGGTAACTTCTTTTCCTTTACCAAAATTTTCTAATGTCGTATTTAGACTTATCTTCTGGTGAACTAGGCGACTAGTTTCTTCTTGACTTATGACTTTCTTAACTTCTTTAAATACTCAGATTTTAATTATGAGTTTTCTACTTTGCTAATTAATTCTATTAACAACTCTTCTTGTTCTTCTTGCTTAGTTAAAACACTAATTGACTTTAATCTATTATAGCATTTATCCTTTCAACCTAATTGGATTCTAGGTGAGCTGATCTCTGACTCAGAGGAACTATGGTTAGCTGAACTAGAGCTAGCTAGAATAGTGTCGGCAGACTCAGACTCGGAACTATGTAGTTCTAGGACTTGGATTAATTTGGCTCTTTCTTCATCCGTGATTAGTGATATAACTATTGGCAACCATAGACATATGTTGTAGCTTATTTAAGATTTCTTGCTCAGACAGACCATCTATATTCCATTCATAAAGCTTATCGGACGAAACAGAAAATTGATTTTGCAAATTTCTTTCTTCAAACTGTATATCAAAAGGAGTAGGCTTAGGATACCAATTCTTAGTTAAACTTGTAGGATTAATTTTTCCTAATCTTTTGACTTTAAGCTTATTATCTAACTCCAAATTTTTAAAGGCATTTTCAATCTTTGAAATGTTACTAGACTCAGATTCAATACTCATATCAGATTCAGACTCAGAAGGGTTGACAACTGCAAAAGAATCTGCAAAGGAATCTAAGACTTTGACACCAGATTTTTCTGCTTTCTCAGGGGTTAACTGATTAAGCATTTCCTCAATTTTCTTCATTGTAGGCTTTATTTTAAGGGTTGGACTCTTATCTAGATCATGGAATTTAACTAATGGTTTTTCGGGTTTTTTGGAAGACAACTGTGAAGGAACTATTTTGTCAATTTTAATTTCTATTTTATCTAATTGCTTTCCTATGACGACTAGACTTTGATTTGTATAATTATTTTGCTCAATTATTTTCTTATCAGCTTGTTTATCAGATCGCTCAGGGACTTTGTAAGGGCTAGCAGATACTTGGGCATTTCTGTGGGAAATAATAATTGTTTCTATTGGTGGATGACCAGCGACAACTTCTTTATCACATTCTAATTTCCATTTATCCTGACTTAAAGTTTTTAACTTATTTGACATATATCGGCTTTCAACAAAATTCAAGGTAGTAGATTTCAACTTTGGCTGACCGCATAGAATCTTTCCATTCATTAAATATTTGATTACGGCTTTCTTTATCAGGGTAGGCTGTATGATAATTATCTTTTCTTTCTTTATTCTCAGGGGCTCTAAGGTGACAATCTAAGACTTTCCAATTAATTACAAATTTCTTATTGAGGGTTCTTAATTGATTATCAACAACTGTAAAACCATCGGTTTCAAAATCAGTTTGGGTTGGTGACTCAGGGGATTTGGACTCACTCTCTTCAACTGGCTGCTTACCATAACAGGGCTGACTGACTTGTGAAGCTTTTCTCAAGGTTTCTAATCTTAAGTCGATTAAGGCTTTCTCTATTTCTAAATCTCTTTCCCGAGTGGAGGAAGAGGCAACAAATGAATGACGAGCAGGAATATGTCTTTTAGACTGACTTGGTGTAGGCAATTGGTGTAACTGGACATTGGACTTAGGTTGATTACTAAAATTGATTTTAACTGTGCCATCTAAATACTGCTGAATATAATCCAAATTATTTAAATTATTTTGTACTGGGGCAGGCTAACTTTCATTAACCAATGTCCATTCTAAAGGAAGGCAAACATCAGACCACTTAATTGTTTGGGGTACTCTTATATTGGCTTCTACTGTGTGACTCTGGATTAATAATGTTTGGTCTTTTGGGATTTTATTAAGGGCTTGGAAATTTATATTAGTGCATGTAACCTTATAGTAAATTCTGTAAACTAGGGTTAATGGTTGGGTACTTGGTAAGACATTATAACCAGCAGTCTTAATATTCAATGTTAGGGCTTTCAAAATATGGGGATCACTTAGACTTATACACTACTACATTTTAGGCTTTGCGCGACGAAGGCAAGTTCGTCGCGCAAAGATGACTTTAGTCACACATAATTATGCGCGACAGAAGATTCGTCGTGCACCATCCGTCGAGCAAAGATCGTGAAGAAAGACTTTGCGTGACCAATTTATTTCCTTCGTCGCGCAAAAAAGTGCGACGTAGCACCTCCGACGCACAAACGTTTGCGTGACGTAAGGGTGTTCGTCGCACCAACACTGCGCGACGACCGGTTTAGCCCCGCGAGGTTCATGAAATTTGCGCAACGAAAAGACCTTCGTCACGCAATTAGTATTTGCGTGACTAAAGACTTCGTCGCGCATACAAATTTTGCACGACAAAAGAATTCGTCGCGCTTGATAAAATTAAGTGTATTTAAAAATTGTTTTTCAACATTTTTTTTAAAGTGATTTTGCCCGACAATATATATTTCGTCGCGCAAAATTAATATATATGATATAAAATTGATATTATTTTTTTAAAATTTTGTAAAAAAATAAATTTGGTTTTTTTTTTTTTTTACTAAAATGAAATTGCAATAAAAAGATTAATTGTAAAGAAAACATTTATTATATAAAATAAAATAAATGCATACAAGAGAAATATTTTTAAAATAATTATGAAAATAAAAAACTAATCAAATAATATTCCAAAATCTACTTGGTCGTTGTTGAGGCCCAAAAATCCAAGGGGCTAAGCCCAAATCAATCCTTAGCCCAATATGGGTAATTGGATGCAAAATAAGCTCAATCGGGATAAAAGAAAATTTATAAGAGCCGCCAACACAAGCTACAAGCCACAAATCATGCTAAACAAGCACGTGCAGAAGGAGCCAAGGACATACCGATATTACTAAATCACGCTCACATGCTCATTCAGTGCTACTTGGCCCGACTATAGCCTATCATGGCATAATAAAATCCCAAGCACGAGCATAAAAATCATGCGCATTCTAATACCAAGCTACGTCACGAGCTTAAGTGGGCCCAAGCCACAAAATTAACCGGGGCTTACTGAGAAGGTTGTGGTATGGAAGGAAACAAGCAATCACGAGGCCCATTGAGGGTTCAAGGAACGTAGGTTTCAAAGCCACTTGGGGGCTTTGGAACTCAAGCCCGTTCCTAGAACCCAAGCATATGGGTTAGCATGAGAGAGAGGAGAAAAAATTGACCCATGCTCTAGGAAGACACCAAAGAACCTACCAAGATATTTAGCCCAGCCCACATCAATAGAATTAGAGGGAAAGCCTTTCCAGCAGCTTGACAAAAGCCTGTCAAACGATAGAAGCAACGAAGCCAGAGGACCCAATACCATATGTACAAGCCCAAGCCCAGCAACTTGCAAAAATCTGGCGTCAAGCGCTATTCCCGTTTGAATTCCAAACAATGGTCATAAGGGAGTCACGGCAAGACC